AAAAGCAGGAAAAAAAAAGTTAAACTTTCGCTGGAAGTCACAAGGTCATGTTAACTTTGCTACTTCGAGTGAAAAGTGGAGGCTCTACAGCCCGTCCCGTATATGGCACAAAACTTTTAAATCTATCTCTAACTGTATTGCGCGCAGATTTTAGTAGAAATTTCGCTCATTTTTGTTGAATTTTCCTTAGTTAGACATAGGAAGCAACATATTATCTGTTAATATTTTCAGTTTTGACTGTATTTATAGAATAACAGAATATAGAACATATTGGGACAAACAAAAAGGTCTAAACTACTGACACTGAGTTAAAAACCGGAATCAAAGGGCGAAGGTAATTCCCGCTGATTGCAGACTATATTAAAGGTTGTTTATATGCATGCATATTTGTATGTATGCGTGATTCCTAAAATAACGGACACTTAATATCACGGTATTATAAACATAACGTGAAAAAGGAAAGGCAATTTAGAGACCGCAGAGGAGAAAAGGAGTTACATCTTTAGTAACAATCTAATAATACCAAGCTAGACAGTATTCAGACATAATTATGACATTAGGAGAAAGTTTCCCAGATTATTTCTAGCTTCTATTTATTAGGAACTTTTTGTAAACATGTCATTTCATGATATTTGGATTTATAAGGAAAATCAACGTAAATAGAGAAAGAATTTTAACGGCTAAATTTATTTGAAACACTTTGTTTTTAAACATTTTTTTTCAGCTGAGTGCTCAGGATTGAAGCTGATGTTTACATACACCAAGTTAAATTAATTATGCACTAGCAAGTTTTCTGTAACGGGCTACTATTGTCTATATCGGTACAACGATATACAAGCGGGATAAAATGGTGTTACGCGTATAACTATGTGATCATGATAGAGTCCAAGTTAAATCAAAAACAAGTTACGAACCAAGATTACGCTGTACCCCAGCCGAATGACTAGGCTGGCAGGCTGAACCATCTTCAGTCAGTAATTAGCATAACGACATTTTGGAATTGTTTAGTGTTATGGGATTTTTCGCATCATTTACGTTTATTAGGTCTGATCTTAGGCGACCACATCCAAGACCATCTCCTTGCAGATATAGCTTCAATTCAATCAAGATCCTCGTCAAAAAGGGTAGAACATTGAAAAAAAAATCATTGTTGACAAAAACGATCGCAAACCAGCTGGGTATCCATCAGCACAACGGCAACTTCCTCCTCATCTAAGCACCGTATTGATGACAAAAGTACGAAGCCGTGATTGTTATGGTTTATCTTAGATTTTATTTTTGGCAACCTATCAAAAATGTCCATCAATTTAAGGACTGAAAGAAAACAATAAAAATAGATATTACGGCATATTCAACGTATGTTATGTTGTGTCTCTTCATGACGACACGTTTTCCTGGAAGCCGTGACTTTTCTCTGACAAACTTACTTTACTAGTGTACGGCAGTGCTGAGACATCTAAACGTCGTTTGCATAACGTCACTTTTGTCGTTAACTATCAATATTACATCAGAGGAGTAAGCCTCGCGAAATTTCGGTTCGTGAATGCCCCCAATCAAGCCTAGGTAGCAGACTTTCATCGGAGTTGAGCCAATGCTGACCGGCATTTATTCAAAATACAAATTCAATAGGTTTTATCATCTGAGAAGTCAGCTCATACGTTGTTCTCAGTTAGACCTAGGCTGTCAGTAAAGCATCGGCAGCTGATGCTGTTCACTGGTTAGGTACAATCAGGCATTTTAGAAGGGTAAACAGCCCTCTGAGATATCACCTAAGTTCGATAGTTTTCTCTGCCATGCACCTATTCTTACCCATTCAGGAAACACCAACCAAAAACTTGAGCTCTCCAAATATGGAACGGTTTTTTCATGTCGGACTGAACGTCGAGGTCAAAGACAAACTGAACGTAAAAAACGGTGAACGAGTTGATAGTGATGAAACGAGACTGCCATTTTTATCGGGGTTCTTGAAGTTCCAGTTAAAATTACCTTTGTCCTTAGATGCATCTAATGCACCTACACACGTGTACTTTGCATTATTCATACTCGGTTTTAAGCTGCTGAACGTCTGTATTTTAAACAATACTCAAATAGTGATCGCGTTATAAGAATAGAAAATTCTTTTTTTTTTTTTTAATAATTACCTTTGTAACTAATCGCTTAGGAGACGCTAGATTAATTTTAGGTATTATTATAACATTCAATTTTTATCAATGAAATATATTTGCTTTCATAGAAATAACAATAATATTATTCTTATAATTTTAACAGTGTAACTAAAACAGCTTAATTTCCTTCAACATGGCTTCCCGCAACTGTAGATGATTAAATATAGTTTTTTCAGGACCTAGAGCTGCTTATGAAATAGATTTAATAAGAATTGTAGAATTACAAACGGGTCTGTGAAATCAGCTCCTAGTCGAAACAGTACATTGACAATAAGACCGCTGACACTCTAGTTTATACTAGAAGACTACACGTGGGGCAGAGTCTTATTATTGAGTATTGGATACTGAATTTATGTAGGTTCTGTTGTTGTCACTCGTTTGAGCTGTAGGATCCGCGCGGTCGTGAAGGCGTCAGAAGCGAAGGCAGACACAGCAGATCAGTGACAGCGACAGAAACAAGCCCGGATTCAGCTAGTTTAAAAGAAAGAGAAAGAACCATTACGAACTCTCAACTGTACGAGATGGTCACATGGCTTGAGATGATAAATAAACGCATAAACATACACCTAAATGTCGGTACTTGAATTTGTTAATTAATTGTTGGTAATTAATTGAATTGTGGAGGCACAAGGGCCATCATACACATGGGTACAGTATTCATAAATACGAAAAAACTTTGAGAGCTTTAATATGACGTATCAGTTCAGGTTTGGAACATAAACCTCTTCTAACAGAGGCATCGAAAGCAACTGTTGACCAGATATTTTTCTTCAGCCATCGAGATGATTGTGCGGTGTGAGCAACAGACGTTCGTATACAATATTTAGCAATACAATTTTCGCTTAAGATACAGGCCAGGACGCGCTTAACCTTCTTGGCAGTACTTTACCCATCCGACTACCCTACCGTCCAGGATATTGGGACTGCTCGAATAGATAGAAGCGATTTATAACAATTCATTAATTACCTAATCGCAGAGTTCAAATTTTTCTTCTAAAACTTCATAAGAGACTCAAGGGATACCTATTCTCATGGCGTATGTAAATGCCAGAAACGATGTGAACAGATGGAAACTCATGGAACTGGAAGTACGATGGAACGTGTTTATATCAAGAGCAGATCGGATGAGTTACATTTCCATTGCTAATTGATTTTTGATCGCTTATCTCAGGTAGAACATCGAGTGACCCCTGACATGAATCGGTTTCATGTTTTTGAGTATTGTAAATCGTACAAATAAACAAACGTTGACTGTATTATGCGTTTGTCTAACGATGTTTGCCAGGGCTTGTAGAAAATGTGTGTAGACTAGGAAACAGCTGGATAGTAACGTACGCACTCTACGGATAGTTATATGGCCATATTTTATTCCACTTTACATTGCTTGGATTTTTGTCTTTTCAGTGGTAGTCTTTAGGAAAACAAAGGATAAGCTTTGTCCGAATTCGGTCATATACACTAATCGTCATAGTTAAATCAGCGTGACTTGTTTCGTTACTTACAAGCACAGTCTTACTCTGGTCCATATGGCCATTGGGACAAGGAGAATAAAGAGAAGGTTTTCTTTGTGTTCCGGCCGTAAACAATGGGAGAAATTAGGCCTCAAAAAAGAACTAAGAAAGGGACAAATAAGGCATATCGTTTCAGGAAAATCAATTGGACAACGGTGTTGGAAGATCGTCGAATTGTACAGCGTAGGCCAAGGTTCGCTGGGCATTTTGAATGTCTTCATTTCGCATCTGCTAAGATAGCAAAAGATAGGAAAAGTATTTTACTAAACAGCGAATTTTAGTATGTAACACATTTGTAATAGGTTGACCCTTTTCCAAGCGGCCAAGAACGCTTGGCCTACTCACCACGTGGTATATGGTCGAGTTTCCTTGAATTGAACATGCTAGGCCGGCTCAAATGGCACCACAAAACGGCGTTCGCATCCTACTTTATCTAACGTAATATTAATATTATATTGTGACCTGTAAAGAAGCGTATTATATACAGCTACGAAAAGAACATGACGAATGTCCTTTTCACAAGTTTACAAGTACGTACAAGTTTCTAAATCGATGGTTTTTTGCACTGTTTAAGACTGATGCTGAGGTTTGGAGAAAATTAAACAGCGGCGGGTCTCTTTGAGACACATATAGGTAGGAAACTCAAGAAATATCTATACAGGTCTTTTATTCTATACTCTGTGCCAGTATTATCACTTTGATAGCCGTTCAAAGTCATTTTTGCGCTGTTGGTAAAATATATTCTAGCATTTTTAAACGAAATATAAAAATATATGCCTTTTACATTTACGTTGTTGTTCTCTGAAATAGTTATTTCTCAGTCGAAAAGCGTCGGTATGGTAAAGCCTTTACCTTACGGCTTTGCATTGCCACTTGAACCTGAGCCAGCTTTTCTCGGCCTGAATTTCGACCCAGCTGTTTCCAGTTGCACCGGGACGGATGCATGTTTTAAATATCTTTCTTGTATATATTAACAGATCATTGTCCCTCAAGTAAACTACCACAATGTGTTACATCGTCCCGTATAGGGCAGTTAAAGCAGGCGCCTTGACGTTACCATCGATCGACTAATAAAGACACCTGTATCCTACCTTTTGATAATTCAAGGTACTTAAATCTGTAGTGCATGGCTCGCTCCTCGATCAGAAACGTGGTCGCTGTTCCCTTCCACGTTATCGCTGGCATCATTTTCTCTATAAGCCTTTTTAGTGTTAAAAAAAAACACAGAGATAACCTTGACAGAAACTTTGTATTTGAGTAGTATGATATTCGCTTAATAGATCCCGTGAAACTCTTTCGTTTAGTGTTATTGCTTATTTTTGGCTTTACCGTACAATTTGAACACATCCCGTAGGTTAATTTCCTTGCCACTTTATCATGTTGTATAAATACTACTAAGGCTATATCTCAACTGATTGATTACGCGCTGCAGTTCCCAAAAGCTTCAATTTGTTGACTTTCAGCGGCTCTCTGGTTAACAGAGCTGGTTCACGACGTACCTGTTTAGAGGCTGACCAAGCAGAATTCCTGTATACCAATTTGGAATTATGGCGAACTTTACATACATTTTATGAGGTCTCTATTCTCAGAAAACAGTTTTTAAAGGATCATTTTTCCTCGTGGACGGCGAATTTGAATCTGATGTTGTACGCAGGGGTAAAAAAATTCTTATTTATCCTTTGGCGAGGCAATAAGTAATTTAAAAGATCAATCTGTGTAATAAAAATGCTAATGATAACACATTTGAAATGGAGATGCAAACCAAATTAGATCTAAATATCTATTATATAGTTGAGATCGCTGTTTTTTACCATTTAAGCTATGCGAAATCTAAGGCCGTTGAATAGCGCTCCTTAGGTATATTCTTCTGGACATCCAAATTCTGATATTCAGATCAATCTGGCAAACGAAGCGTCTTCACAGTGTGAAGTTATAGTGAAAACAATATTAACAATGGTGAGTAAACACACACTCAAAAATAACTTAACTACAAGGCTGGGCAAGCGCGTTTTTCGGTCTCCGTAGTGGTATCCGAAGAGCTTGGAGAGCCAGAAAATGTAGAACACTAACATGGTGTAAATAAAAAAGCTTAATGCAATGAACTCTGTTGTGTAACTCTTATTAATTAATATTTGGGTTTGGATCTTCGGAACCGATCTAGTAAGGCCAAGAGGACGCTTCCAGGCTGGTGTTGGTGCCTGTCGCGGAGCTCTTCAATAGCTGACTTCACCTGGAAATAAAAACACGGCACAGGTAGGTGGCGTAGTTGTTTGAGTCTGAAAAAAGAATTCGAACATTTATGGCAAACTTGCGATGGCTTAATATTTATGTATCTGTAATACAACATTATAGCACTGTTGAAGAAGTTGCACTTTAACTGCTTGAAAAAACCAAAAAGAAACCATGCTTGTTTCTGAAAGAAAGCCAACAATGTTTCTATTTAATTTTACGTAGCATGGAACAAATTGTTGGTAATAAGCAGGAATTTCATTTCTTTATCTTGCTATCAACGACAGCTGTTGCCGGCGTACCATATCCGATAGTTACCCTTGCTGTAAACTCCTCAACTGTTTCATTTTTGCCACAGTATAATGGTTCACCGAAGTACGTCCTGCAAATCGAACGAACCCTGTCAGCATATTGCATAATAGCAAAGCTATTTAAAAGGCCTAAGTGAAATCATAAAAGAACATCGAAGCTATTTTTCTCGATACTGTAGCATTCACTATAGACCACAAATAGCAAGTTTTTCCGTCGGGGAAAAATGCGCTTCTAGGAAACGGCAAGCTACTGCACTTACTATGACGATCGTGAAAAGGTCCATTTAATAAAATTCCATGATCTCTTTAAATATATCGTTATCTATAATTTCCTTGCTTCCCAATGAGCTTGCAAGTTGCCTACAAACAAAGCATGCTAGTACGTAATATTTTTGTTCTCGATTATACATAGAAAACAGCCGCATCTGAGGGAAATATACATTACTTACGATTACGCCAAATTACTAAGGTACTTGGACTTACGATACGTTAATAGCATACAATTATTAGTAAAGTATTTTAACTAGTTCGTCCAAACTCACTTAATAATATTCGTGGATGCGCTAAAAGCCTTCCCTATTAGGCTTTCACATTTTTAGGCTCTCGGTGTAGTTATTAAGCGAAGATGCTACCTCCATTCATGATTTTAGGACGCAGTTCTGCCAGCTGTTTAGCCATAGTGAGTTGTAAGAAAAAATGATATGAAGCGGTGTTTAACGGCTTGTACTTATAGTTTTGATACAGTGGAATATATGTTAGCTACTTTAAACCGAAGCTATCCGCGAATTTACCTGAGCTTCACGGGATAGCCACCAAAGGCAATGCATAATGGGAATCGAACTTTGTCGTAGAATTCCCGTATTAGACCTGCAACATACATAATATTGCGTAACATATTTATGATAAGTATGTTTGAGATTACAAGGTGCACGGAAACAAAAATAAGCTGCATCGTGTATGTCATGTGGAGCTAACGGAATCTTATTTCTCACGCGATATAACATTCTCCAGCCGGTTTCGCGCCACTGACTTCAACCCGGTACCCGGGTTGAAGTCAGTGGCGCTCTGAGCTCTTCTTTTTGTATGATGCCTTGACGAGCTGTCTCCCTCAACGTTTTAATAAAACAGTGGTACATTTTGGCGGAGCTCAACGTTTTCATCGCCCGTTTTTCGAAAACATTGTTTGATCCGGTTCGCTTCGATTGGACTATGCGGTGCCTTTCGGTGGATTACCAAACCGGAGCTTCTCACTACCTGTGAGAAATTATAACACATAACTCCTAGGAGTTGCGTTTAAGTTTCTTTCCTAACTGACGATACAGTCGCCATTCGAAGCTGTTAGGGATAAAACTGCGTACGCACGGATTTACACTATATAGGCTTACTTTAAGGCCCAAGCGTCCGTACATCTTTTAACTGAGGGGAACGAGGGTATTCAAGTAGACAGTACCCTAAACTTTGTGTCCGGCCGGGTATTACGTGTAAAAACAAAATAGGTAATGATCCTTTTGTACACGAACTTGCTCTGCTAGCATTTGGAAAACGTGCTTGGCATGCCAAACGCTTACAAGTAGTTTCATATTGAGTGGTAATAATTACCCGATAAGAAAATGTTACACGTACAGCAGAACGACCAGACCATAAAAAAGCCACTATTACAAAGGATTAATTAAAATGGCTTTCGGATAATGCTTAACATACATGGATGTTCGAAGCTGAAACAGGCGCTATAAGTTGGTAAGAGGCTGGATATTCAAGCCTCTTGCACAACTTGCAAGCATAACTTTGTCCGCTCAAATCGGTTTTCGTCCTGCAACGTAATTCCACTCTTGATCCTCGTAAAGCCAATTTAAAGTCATTGTATTCAAAATAATTTTGTACAAAGTAAAAAAAGTTTTTCACTACTTCATTCAATACTTCATTACCTTGAGGTCGGTTTGTTGAAATAGAAGTGTCTGGCATTCATAAGACTATTTGGAGACTGATTACGCAGAGGAACGAACTCTATATGTATTTTCGAAGCATATCTTGATGGTCCTGCTTCAGCTTAACAAAAGTGTCACCCATACTGCTTAGAATATATAACAGCAAAACTCGCAGTCCACTTTGACTACTCGGTCAGTAAGATGAGATCAACCAAGTTATCCTGGGGGCTTCACGCTAAGACGGACATGTTACTAGCTAATCAGTTGGGGGCAACCTATCCTCGAACTTTCTTTCGAAGCAACTTTTCGCGTTACATAAATTCGTTGAGTAACTTACGTCGTTGCCAGATTTGAATCAGTAATTTCTGACTTTTCAGAAAACTAATTTTCAACCCATTGGCAACCTCTAACAGCGAGCATCCCTGTTATCCGGATTTTGATTAAATTTTGGTGTTCGCTAACTCCGCATCTGGATATTTTACAAGCTTTTGTAGTGGTTACTTTTTGCTTCTTGACGAGAGCAATTAGTGCCTTTCAAGTAGCCATAATACTTACCATAATTTTACTGACTAGATTATATAATGTGATAATTATATAAAATTTACAAGCTGTGAACGTATGAGCAGTAACTCCATCCTTGCCGGTTTTTCAATTCAATTTACCATTGGCCCGGACTGGCCTTGATCATCGACCCTACACGTAAATATATGCATATATCAATAATTATCTTAATAAGGCGTAAGCTTAGCTCGTTACCGGCCCCAACAAAATTTTCTAAAAGGTCTTAACACTAGCAACTATCGTTCTTACTCTGACAAGGGTATTTTTTTTAAAATTCTAAAACATCTATTAGTGTATAACAGTACCTACGGGAACGAACTGTATTAAACAAAAGATACGTGTTCCATAGCCTATAACCCATTACGATTAAAGTTGGGTCGCGAGTAATGTAATGCTGCCAAATACACATGTGATCGCCCAGTATCATACGAATGGATACATACCATCAGCGCAAAACGGGACCATGTCAGTAAATTGGCGAATATTCTGTGTGAACATTGGTACAACTGGTTTACCGGAGTCCTTGGTCATTTGGGCGAAACCCCGTCGTCGTCGCCATTCAAGTCTGTTCCGAACATACAATAAAATATATATTGATCTATTTATACAACTACTATTAGTTCAGTTAATATCGAACAAGGGTACATGCAGATTAACGAAACTATCATTATTTCATAACTTGTTAAGGGATAACTTGTTATTGGTTTACGCGAACGAATTTATGATAACAGTAGCATAAAATGAAGAAAAGTTTTTGTCCCTTCAATGAAAATATAGCTCATGTTTATGAAATCAAACTCTTCTTAAGAAACGGGTCGAACTAAGCAAAATTGATGGAGGCTAACTTGGTAGTATGCAATGCCCGTTCTTGCTCCATGCTCTCTTTGCATCATATCGCCTCAAATGACACCTTAAAATACATATGTTCAGACAAGAATAGCTAACTATTTTTTCGTACGAGGTTTTATATATCATTCCAACGCAGGCTTGAAAAGTACATAGGAGCTTATGTGCGCACTTTCCCAGATCAAACCCAGAATCCTTATCAATCGAGCCACAATGATAAGTTACTCAGATTTCCGCTAGATTTCTACGTAATTATACTGTGTCGTCAGCCTAAAGATATTACTGACGAATATTCCCTGCTGAACATAGCTTCGTACGCTCCGCCCGGGCTGACAGATAGATATCGGCCGAGCCGTAATAGTTCGGTGCAATGAGCGCGATTACCACACGTCGCTCCCATTACCTGCAGAAGTATCATACAGAAGTGCGCAAAATATTTACCGGTCATAAGGAAGTAATAAGGAATCAAAGTATTGAAATAAATAAGTGTTGCTGGTTAAATATTATATATGTATATATATATATATATATTTAAGACTGGACGTCACTAATTAATAGCGTACAGATTTGTTAGTTCTACCTCAGTTTTTACCTCAGCCATAATTCGGACTCCAGGGGTGCGATAAAGTGTCTTGTCGATGACGGCCACGATTTGCTGGTTTAGGAACTTGTGGAACACAGCACTGATGTATATAGCGTCAATCGGTACCATGCCGTGATAATAGACGATTAGGGCACCTTTCGCAGGTATTCGATCTAATCCGTAAACCTCGTACCCTTCGAGATTGTGCATCAACAGTATCGTAAATGTAGGGTCACAGCGTTTTTATTTTCTAACACATAGAATTGCCACGGGCAAAAAGCTTGAGCTTCGCAAAATATTCGTATGGAAAACTATACCGCATTCCCACATTCTTTGTTTTGCAATCAAAATGGCCTAGAATCGTCATACATTTTACGCTAGTTAGGCACCAGTCCAGTTTCCCTCCCCGAGAGATCCTTGCAACGCACAGCCTTTCTGTAGTAATCAAACATGGCATACAGGCCGTACTACAATAATATTAACATCAGAACAATCAACACGATTTACAATGAACTCGAGAGCGAGATTTGAGAAAAAAAATATAATAAAAAAGAAGCTTTTTCCTTCTAGGAAGGTCTGATGTTTCGTCTACAACTTCGTGCTTGCTTGGACGTCCAGACTCTAGAACGTTTTTTACGCGAACGATTTCACGAGAATTGCGAAAAAGTTGCTGGAAGAATGCGCAAACCTGCGCTACGTTTTTCAATTGTAACATACGAGCACTGGTTAGAACTACAGACATTTCCTTGTGTCCAAAATATAATCCTGTTTCCCATTTTTTTTTTTAATGAATTTGAATCACGGTATTAGTTATTCAAGTTGACGAGTGGTGCAAAGCTGCTGTTCTTAACAATGCTTAAAAATCTTACTGGATTCTTCAAAGGTCAGGGGCTAACCCTGAAAAAATCGTGTATGTCACCAACAAAGTCGTACAGGGTTGTCGATCTTCGTACCTAGCTTATGCATTTATCATTATTATTACCATGTATTTTTATCATTATTTAATCATGTACCTAGTAATAAGGCCATTGTCCTATGAGTTTAATGCTTCAATATACTGGGGCAATGAACTATCTTGTGACGAAGGCGGTGGCAGCCGAGAACGATTCTATGCGTCTTTCTCATACCGTGATAGATTCGAGCGATGCTCCACCACATTTCGCTGACCACTCGATGAAGCCACGCCTTCAGCCTGCCTCGACTGTCGTCCCAAAAAAAGGTTGTGCCTTTGTAAAGGAGTGACAGCAAAATCATCAAAATCGTTGGATAGATCGAAAGGTACGGTACAGTGAAGCCCAACTGCCAATTCAAATACAGTGCATGTTATAAAAATGAATAGGAGCTCTACTCCAACAATAACATTACATATTAAGCTAAAATTAAAACGCGTTATTAGAGCTATTTACGCAGACGCGTGTCATTATATCAATTGTAAAATATAACATGGTTTTCGCAGTTGCTATAAAAAGGCAACATATAATCAGTTACTATAATAATTATCATGAAGGGTTGTTACGATATGCGAGATGTTCTAAGAAAACCATAAAAAAAACACTGAATTCTTACAAAAAAAGATATCTGTTAATGAATAATGTTGAAAGCACGTCGTACATGTATGTATTAAATTTACCCTGAGCTTAGCGTACGTTTTCCCGTGCGAATACAATACAGATACAATAAAACAAGTAAAAAAAAAAACTAGGAGACGCGGGCGACCGAAAATTAATAGAAAATTAAAAGTTAATGCTATTACATTAACACATTAATTATTTTTTTTATCACAATGATAACATATTATATGCTACGACTGAATTGGGCTCATCCTAGACAGGCGGCAAATTACAGTGTCAGTTCGCTTTCTACACAATAGCTTATAAACGCTCTGTATCTAATAATCTACTATTACATCGATCATTTACTGAAACAGAAGCTATTAATAAGTTGTAATAAGCTTTAGGTTTCACCTTAGATCTCTGCGTGCACGCAAGTTGAATAAAGTAGTACTTACGATAAAACAACCAGTAACAAAGCCATATGACCAAGTATAGTAAACCACATAGGGCATACCAATAAGTACCCACGGGTAAAACACCCACGCGAACCAATCAAACATTATTGAATGAACGCCGTCACAATCCGCACATCCGCATATATTCTGCTGACAGAGCGATGGACATACCCTAGTTTGTAAGACAACATTGACCTGTCATCCCATAGACTCTTTCCTGTCGACTGAAGCGGTTTGACTTTGTTTAGTAGCTTACAACGATGACAACGCAACAGGAGGACAGCGCTTTGACGGAAGGTAAGACCGAAGACAGCGCAGACGTCTGTTTTCTGGCAAGAAAACGAGCTACAATCAACCGAATGAAGATAAGCTAATTAAGCTTTTCTCTCTATGCCTAATAAAGGAAAATGATCTACAGCTATCTTGCCTTCCTTGTTTTCTTTTGTTCTTAATGATGGTGATCACGATGGAATTGGAGATATGGAGATGCTTGAGAAATTCAAAAAACTATTAGTCATACCATTTATCTAGGTAGCCAAAGTATAGACAACGTAGGGTTTTAATGACTTCTGCTTTGTACCTGGCAGCCCAGATGCTACGAAATGTTTACCTAATATGGCCTTATTATGAACGCTTAACGTGCCGTCAATTGTTAAGAACTGCAAAAAATCACATCCCAAACGGTACAGTGATGTTGTAGAAAATTTTTCTTTTTTGCCGAACCTTCGTCAAGCAAAAACGTATCATCGGTATGGTGTATCGTTCTCTCAGCATACTGAACCCTTTGGCATTTCAATTATTACGCTAAAAAAGCTAAAATATATTCTAGGATTGTATTATATAGGTGCTGGACGGCGAAGCCCATATCGGCAGTCTTTTACTTTCTAGCGAAAAAGCTTTGAACTAGAAAAACGTTTAATTCCGTTTTCGCATTACTCTGCGTTGCGCAAATGTCACTACAATAGGAGATATTATTGACATAAATGAGATTTCCTTCATTAGATATTACTAGTATATCCGTTTGCAATATAACACATGTGGTTACACACGGAAGCGTCAGTGTGTCGTGACCGTAACGCGTACGTACGTAGAAACTTATACCGATTTATTAAGCCATTTTCGAAAATGCGGGATGTCGGACACTAAAACCGTAATTTGAGGTCATAGACTCTCGCCGATAGAAAATCAATCTCCACATGATTTTACGTTGTAATAAAAGGTAAGATCGTGTATATATTAGTCATTATTTGCCGATATTTGTTCAGAGACAACTTTCCGATATTTACAAATAACGGGGGGACTGTTGTCGGGAAATGAAAGCTTGACATCGATTTAAAGTTTCCAAAAACATACTACGTCAACACAATATATTCAACTAGACAATACTTATACGTAACAGACAGTGGGGTCCCATTTAAACATCGGTAATTCAATGGAAATGCAACGAGAGACATAAGAAGGCACGATAGTTAATAGTGCTACGGGTACCCTAAAGGCTTTCGATTAAGGCGCCGCTCGCTTTCTCTAACCTAAACGTTATAAATCCGCTCATGTTATCACACACTACCATTGAGGAGCTGATTCTGATAAGCCTTGGTAATATGATTATTCGACCAGAGCCCATAGTTACTACGGGAACCACAAGTTCCAGAAACCTGAGTGGACCGTTTTTCGCCTATCCAGCATAGTCGTAGGGCTTAAGATGAAACCGCTCGGGCTAGATGGTCAACTATTTTTGACTAAATTGCATTAGCTTCATTTAGTTGGCCTAATTTCAGTAAACTGTGAACAAAATATGGCTCAGTTAGATGTACGCACAGTGGTTGGGATCAGGTTGCTCCGTACTTCTGTGTACCCTAAGCGATTAGGGCGGTAAAATACGGTTCGCCTAAGTTATTGCATCTTGTATTGGTACTCGACTGGTCCATAATACCCGGGCTTTTATGATGATGTCTAACAGATAATGATGTCGCTTTTAAGTTTCCTTTTGTTTGTTACGAATTTCCACTCTCTGTATGAATGGGAACAGCTCTCGTTGCCCTAAGGCTTAAATTAGAACTACGGTAAATTGCTGATATCATTTTAGTGGTATATACTGTACTTAATTATTATTATTATTTTTTTTTTTTCTCATTTATTTACTTTGGTTATTTCATTTGATTTTATTTATCTAATTGACGGTCTGTGTAAAAAAATAACCATGCCAGAACTAGGCAATTAGTGATCTAGCAGCCTCTAAACCTATTCACGGAGGCGTTACACAAATACAAAATTGATGATAACAACAAAAAGTACACAATGGGAGGCAAGAATTTTCTACTTTGACTATTGTTATAGGATTATATATTGGCTAGATAGGTATAGGAGCTAGTACCACTATTGGCACAGTAGAGAAACTATATGCGCGGGGTACTTTTACTCGTCTATTTATGGAGAAAATATGAGCCAATCCTAAAGTTGCATATCAATCAGTGATATTATAGTAAAGCTCTATGGTATCGATTATTAATATTGCTTTAATAGTTGCATCAGTCAGAGTGGTGACCATACACCCGACGGGTGTCCTATAGAATCCATACAATCCAATGAAGTTAACATGGCATTAACAGGCCTCATCGAACTACAAAGCTGATGACGTCAGCACGGCAGCGGGCAAGAGCTTCAATTAAACAAACAAGAAGGGGAAGCGACGTCACGCGATAGGGTAACGCCGATTTATTTTTCTCGCTAGTGTCTTCAATGCATTTGGAGGTACTGTGTCAAAACAGAGGATCCTGTTTGTTGCAGATGGTGCGAAAATCAACGTGACAGACATCTCTGGGAAATGGGCCGTTTCATAACCTGTCATAGCAGCCCCTCTTACATAGACTGACGTATAGCGTGACGTAAATGCACACTTTATTTTGATTTTAGCTTTTACCGAGCTTCTTTCGTACGAAGTGCCTTCGAGTCGATTACGGGCATTCGATTGAATACGGTGGAAACAGTAGTTAACTATTGGCTATATTTAATTTATTACATGTGTTCATTTTTGGTCAGATCGATTGCAAAAATTGGCTCTAACACTACGGCCAGACTAAAGGATAATACACGCTAAATAGTTGTGTTGTGTTGTTTGATTCACACCAAAGTTATTATAATAATAGTAGAATAATAATTATTATCCGCAAAAAGAGGCTAACGCATCAGCTAACGCAGTATTGATAATCAGACCTAGAAATTCCTGCATTTATAGCTGAAGCCTGAATGTGACGAGCCGTCGTAATTGGCGTTGGTCCAACGCGCACTTATTACTAAAACGTTTCTCAATTATCGCAGTCGACCACCAAAGCTATATATATATATATATATATATATATATATATATATATATATATATATATATATATAGCTCTCATGGGAATAGTTCGCCCATCGAGAAGACACTAATAATAATAATAATAACGCGAAGAGCTAAGCGGGTAAAGAAAACGTGGCCAAACCAGGTGTTTGCGTCGACAGGTGCTCTACAGATACAAGGCAATATAATAGATACGTATCCTGACCCCAGAAATACGAAATGTAAAGGTGAATCCTCGTACGCAGAGATCGCATTCATAGTGTCGTTTTGGTGTATATCAGACTATTCTGTGTCCTGCGAGCTTTTTTAATTAAGAGAAATATGAAAACAGAGGGGACGCATCGTGCAAAAAAATATTACCGTTTCATACACGCAAAACGAACGCTTTGTATGAGAAGCTGCAACCGCTTGCCAATGTTATCTTCGAGTCAACCATGCGAGTGATTTTTCAGCTTCCGCAGTCCCGGCATTGTTTGCTCTATCTGCCAGTCTCCTCTGCTGTTTCGTTGTGTCTGTGCTTCGATACATCTGTCTGCAAACGGCATATGTCGTCTCAATGCCTGTTTCTTATGTACTGTCACTTTGACAACAGCACACTGTGCAATATAACTAGAAAGGAAAAATAACAGCTCACCCTATCTTTAACGTCCTTTCTGTTCTGCTGCTATGGGCCCTGACGGGACAGGATTGAAGCACGGACACGGAGCAATCGATGATCGTAGCGCATCCATGCGACAGGCCATAGATAGGCGAACGTGCGGAGAATAGAATTTTTCGAAGAAGATGAAAGACGCGTGGAAAGCTAAAACGTCATGCGGCGCAACGAAATTTGCCTAACTTTAGGAAATTTTTTAACTCCATAGAAATCTTCTGTCTTCGTATGCTTGTACTGTTTTTATGGCACTTCAGAATATACACATGTGAGAGATGATGTGCGTACATATACTGGCGGAATCAGAAAAGCCTACCCCTAAATATAGTATCGAACTATCCAACGTTCAAAACAATATTGTTACGAGAGAAATCTTAAGCTTTCTTGAGGGTCAGGTAAAATAGGTACCCTTCCTTACCGACGTACGGATAATCACTACGTAACGGGCCTAAACAGTCTCTATAAAAGAGTTAACAAATTATATGTACTTGATTCCAGTATAAATCTAAAATAAAGGACTAAGTTTGTTAAAGTGAATATGCCAAGAAGCTGAAGTACTACAGTGGTCTCGAAGCTGAAACGAGCAGAGAAACGCAAAGCCAATAAGAAGAGGTTCGCTAAATTGAGAAGATATGTACAAGGACATCTATATCTCTAATAATCCACAATTCGAAGATACCTAGGTTAGCATAGTTTCATCTCATTTACCATCGCAACTTATTAACGACAGTTATTATAAGATACCCTGTCATAGACATTATGCCAAAATAACTAAATGCGTTTAGTCTCTCACATCTAAATCTACTTCCTAAGCACGCACCAGTATAGTGTCATTAAAAAAAATCTATTTTCCAATAGAGGCTTTTCATCACATAATCTCGTATGATATGTGTTTATCAGCATTTTGTTTTTATATTGAACGACGACACATTGCTGCAAAATCACGTATATATAAGTCCAATATATCGAATACTGAAAAAACGACCTTGTATTTACTGCCCACCGGCCCATAGTACTCGGGCATTATGTCTATAATCGCCTATAGAAAGCTATAGTC